TTTAAAAGACAATCTTCCTAGCATTGATAGTGTAGATGAAGAGGAAGAGAGAGAGAATAAACAAACTTATGAAGAAACACAAAAGAAATTCTTGTCAGAGAAGAAAATTTAGAAAATTTCTATCTTTTAGGATGTCAAATCCTCCACTCGTCTGTCAGTTTTTCATACTGTGGTGGCTTGCATGTTGCTATGAGGTTCGAGGGTATGCCACCCATATTACAAATACCAGCAGGGTCACCCATGGTGGACAGGTTTCAGTGAAGCTTCCAGACTAAGACACACTGTAAGAAGGAAGGGGCCATCCACTTCTCAATTGGCCAGTGAAAACCTTATGAATAGCAGTGAAACACTGTGTGATATAATATTTGAAAATTTTATGAATATCCCTGAAACATTGTCCAATATAGTGTTAGAAGAGGAGCCCCTCAGGTCAGAAGGCACTCAACATATGACTGGGAACGAGCTGCCTCTTCAAAGCAGAGTCAATTTGAATGATGTGGATGGAGTAAAGATTTCAGGACTTTCATTTGCTGAACATGACTCAAAATTAAAGAAACAGCTGCAAATATCCATTAATACTTAGAACAGGATATGTACAAAGTCTGAATCTAGGCAAATTGGAGGTCAAAAATGAAATGGAATACATAAAGATCGATATCCTAGGCATTAATTAGTTGAAATGGACAACCATATGATCTACTATGCTGGGAATGGCAAATTGAAGAGGAATATTGGGAGTCTGGTAGCGTAGTGGCTAAGGCACTTGACTGCTAACCAGAAGGCTGGCGGTTCAAACCCACCAGCCACTCTCCGGAAGGAAGATGGGGCAATCTACTTCCGTAGTGATACTGCCCTGAAAACCCAAGGAGGGGTCGCTATGGGTCAGGTCTGACTCAACGGCACATAACAACAACAACAACAACAGTGTGGCATTTATTGTCACAAAGAATGCTTCAAGATCTATCCTGAAGTGCAATGCTGTCAGTGATAGGATAATATCCATATGCCTACAAGGAAGATCAGCTAATACTACTATTATTCAAATTTACACACCACCACCAAAGCCAAAGATGAGGAAATTGAAGATTTTTACCAACTTCTCCAGTCTGAGATTGACCAAACTTGCAATCAAGGTGTGTTGATTATCACTGGTGATTAGAATGAAAAAGTTGGAAACAAAAAAGGGTCACTGGTAACTAGAAGATATGGCCTTGGTGATGGAAATGGCGCTGGAAATCGTATGATAGAATTTTGCAAGATCAATGACTTATTCATTGCAAATAACTTTTTCAACATAAACAGCAGTTATATATGTGGAATTCACCAGTTGGAGCACATAGGAATCAGATTAACAACATTTGTCAAAAGAGGTAATGGAGAAGTTCAATATCTTCAGCCAAAATAAGACCAGGAGCTGGCTGTGGAACATACCATCAACTGCTCATATGCAAGTTCAAGTTGAAACTGAAAATAATTAAAAGAAGTTCACGAGAGACAAATTATGGCCTTGATTATATCTGACCTAAATTTAGAGACCATCTAAAGAACAGATTTGATGCATTGGACATCAGTCACTGAAAACCAGAGGAATTGTGGGAGGACATCAAGGGCATCATCCATGAAGAAAGCAAAAGGTCATTATAAAGATAGGAAAGGAAGAAAAGACCAAAATAGATGTCAGAAGAGACTCTGAAACTTGCTCTTGAATGAAGAGTAGCTAAGGCAAATGGAAGAAATGACAAGATAATAGAGCTGAACAGAAGACTTTAAGAAGCAGCTTGAGAAGACAAAATCAATTATACTGAAATGTGCAAAGACCCGGAGTTAGAAAACCAAAAGGGAAGAACACATTCAGCATTTCTCAAGTGGAAAGAACTGAAGAAAAAAGTCAAGCCTCGAGTTGCAATATTGAAAGATTCTATGGGCAAAATATTGAATGATGTAGGAAACATCACGAGAAGATGGAAAGAATACACAGAGTCCCTGTACCAAAAAGAATTGGTCGATGTTCCTCCATTTCAGGAGGTGACATATGATAAAGAACCAATGGTATTGAAGGAAGAAGTCAAAGCTGCACTGAAGGAACTGGTGAAGAACAAGGCTCCAGAAACTGATGGAATACCCGTTGAGATGTTTCAAGAAATGGATGCTGCACTGGAGACCCTCACTCATCTATGCCAGGAAATTTGGAAGACAGCTACCTAGCCAACTGACTGGAAGAGACCATATTTGTACTCATTCCAAAGAAAGGTGATCCCACAGAATGTGGCAATTATCACACAATATCATTATCATTAATATCACATGCAAATAAAATCTTGCTGAAGAGAATTCAAAAACAATTGTAGCAGTATATAGACAGAGAACTTCCAGAAATGCAAGCTGGATTCAGAAGATGATGTAGAATGAGGGATATCATTGCTGATGTCAGATGGATCTTGGTTGAAAGTAAAAAATGCCAGAAAGATGTTTACTGGTGTTTTACTGACTATCCAAAAGCATTCAATTGTGTGGATCATAACAAATTATGGATAACTTTGAGAAGAATGGGAATTCCAGAACACTTAATTGAGCTCATGAGGAAACTATACATAGACTATGAGGCTGTCATTAGAACAGAACAGGGGGATATTGCATGGTTTAAAATCAACAAGGGAGTGTGTCAGGGTTGTATCCTTTCACCATACTTTTTCAATCTGTATGCTGAGTCAATAATCTGAGAAGCTGGACTATATGAAGAAGAATATGGCATCAGGATTGAAAGAAGACTCATTAACAACCTGCTATATGCAGATGACACAATCTTGCTTGCTAAAAGTGAAGACGAGTTGAAGCACTTACTGATGAAGATTAAATACTACAGTCTGAAGTATGGATTACATCTCAACATAAAGAAAATTAAAATTCTCACAACTGGACCAATAAGCAGCATCATGATAAATGGACAAAAGATAGAAGTTGCCAGAGATTTCATATTATTTGGTTCCACAATCAACACAATGAAAGTAGCAGTCAAGAAATTAGACAATGTATTGCACTGGGCAAATCTGATACAAAAGATCTCTTTAAAGTGCTGTAGAGCAAAGATACCTCTTTGAAGATTAGGATGTGTCTAACCCAAGGCATGTTATGTTCAATTGCTTCATATGCATGTGAAAGATGGACAATGAATATGGAAGACTGAAGAAGAGTTGATGCTTTTGACTTGTGGTGTTCAAGAATAATACTGAAAGTACCAGGGACTCCCAGAAGAACTAACAAATCTGACCTTTAGGAAATGCAGCCATAATGCTCCTTGGAGGCAAGAATGGCCAGATTTCATCTCATTTACTTTGGCAATGTTGTCAGAGGGATCATTCCCTGGAGAAAGTTATCATGCTTAGTAAAGTGGAAGGTCAGTGAAAAAGATGGCCTTCAAGGGGGTGGATTGACACAGTGTCTGCAACAATGGGCTTAGGCATAGACAGGCTGGCACATGACTGGGCAGCATTTCATTCTGTTGTAGATAGAGTCACTGTGAGTAGGAGCTGACTTGACGACACCTAATGATAACAACAGGATGTCAAATATTTGTAGAAGATAAATACATCTTTGATAACACATGAAAATGCTTCTTTTCTTATAATTACAATTGACTGCTAACCAGAAGACTGACAGTTCAAACCCACCAGCCACTACTCAGACAGAAGGTAGGGCAATCTACTTCCATAGTGATACTGCTTTGGAAACTCAAGGAGGGGTTGCTGTGGGTCGGATCTAACTCAATGGCAGTGAGTTGTTTTTTTTTTGTTTGTTTGTTTGTTTTATATGGTTCCTCTTCACCCACTCACTAAGTAAATTTCTTTGTTGTGTGTTTTTTTCATGCAGCATTTCTTAACTGGCTTACCAGAAAGACCTTGGTTTTCATTTATTTAAAAATATGTTTCTTGGGGCTGTGACAGTGTCTAGCACATGAGAGATACTCAATAAATAATTTTTAGAATAAATGAACAAATGAAAAACAAGTATTTTTAAGTAGAAAAAATAATGACACAAACATGGCAGTTATTGTACAGAATATTTGATGGGCCAATATTTTTTCTGTTATATTTCCAACATGGATTCTTACTAATATATGCTATGGTTAATTTACTTGTGTAAAGTAATCAAAGCAAGTGACAGGCCAGGCTGCCCATGGATATATGGAAATCCCAGACATGATACCCTTCCTCTCTGAGCCTACATTCTACAAAGTTAGAAAGTATCTCTATTTAATAGGGGGCAATTCAAAAACTTCAGAAATAAAATTTGATTTAAAATAAAAGGAAAGTTGCCCTTTCCCATTTTTAAAAATAATTCATTATAGGTTTTGTTTTGGGATTGGTAATTCAGAAGTTGAAGAAGTTTCAAAGACTAGTAAATAAAGCATAGCGTATAAAGGTATAAAAAAGTCTTGTGTTAAGAAGCTAGATAAAGGGAAGTTAAGAATTAATGGAACAATGGAATTAGAAAATTATATTATACAACTATCAAACCATACCCACTGCCAC